TTAATTCTGGCAAAAATTCGTCGACAATATTTGATACGTCATATAACGATGTGTGCTAACAATCGAAAATTATGCCAAAGGAGAATAGGCAGTTTGCTTCAGCACAATAGTAACTGTTGATCAAAAATTATTGATAGCAGTTAAAAAAAACGGTGCTAAAATGACGAAATACGAATGTACACGATTATTACTCGACTGCTAAAATTGGTCTACTTCGTTTTGGCGTTACTGGGTTTCCGTGTGCAGTTGAATTACTGCAAGTACATGCTAGCCGATAACAATAGCAACTTCCCAGTTCAACGAAACAAGGACAATATCAACGCATCCATGGCCCGGATTGCTGTAATTAGGAGTGAATACCCCCCCCCCTTTCGCAGACTTATTGATATTTGAAAACAAAGACCGAGAAATTTTGGCTATGATTAATTAAAAAAACGTATATTGCACTGTGAGCACCACTACGTAAGAGCAATTATAAATCGACTGCGATGGCAGGTAATCGTTAAAAATCTACAGGGAATTTAACTGAAAAAAATATTTGGTACTGAAAAACAAATAATACAGCCAAACTATTCTTCGCGAGATAATCTAGATCAAACTGAGCGAGATAAACATTCACAACAGTCGAGTCGACCGTCTAGTAGCTGCTAGTAGTTCCGTGATTCCCGTTTACGGCTGGGCGATTTGACCGCGTTTATTGCGCCAACGGTACAATTCGGATGTGTCTAAAATCGCCATTGAAAGTATATTAGAATTATTAATTATGGTCACATTGTTTAAACATTTTGGATTTAGTGGAAATACTGTGGCCATTGAGCAACTAATAGTTCTTTAAGACCAACTCCGCCTTTTTGACTTTTGAAGAATAATTTGTCACATTTTCTCATAATGCCAATAAAACAAATGTATTCATTTCTCTTAATAGACTGTATGCATCGGATCAACGCACCTCATCAATACGTGCTAAAAGGGTCGGTTGGGGCGATTAATTAGTTAGTTTATTTCTAAGCCGCGTTTTTGCGCAACAACCCCATCTTTTATTAGAATAATACCGGAGACGGCATTGAGAAAACTAGCAGGACTTTGGCGTGTGCCCGCAGTGGGGAGAAGTCATTAGCTTTCCCCGTTTGGGTGTAAGTAGCCGACACAATCAGTGTTGTCAGAAAATGTATTATAAGCATGGGGAGGGATGACTGTAAGGACAGCCTCCTGTGTGAGTGAAGACGTGCTGTTAGCAGAAAATTAATTTAGGATAGAGCCCCCTTAAACGAAAAATACTGCCAATAGCTTCACAGCAAGCGATCTCACTTCACCAAACGAGGCCAATATGCGGAATTAGCTGCGCTGACATGGTTTTCACAGGACGCATACAGTTTTTGTCAAAAAGCGAGCTGTTACAATCATAAACTAACAGCAAGATATGATAAGCTGTTTTAAAGGTCACAAAGAAGAGTGAGTTGCAAAAAATAATTGGAATACGGAGGGAAATCGTCTCCGATCCAGCACAGCTTCATTGTGTTGTGCTGAAGCCTTCGCGCCTGAAGCATTACTGCTGATATATCATGTCGTTGTATGTGAGAAAAACATCAAAACATACGTCAACAAGTTGAAATCATAACCATATTTTTTTGAATGACAGAATATTGTATTTAAGTGTGGTTATCAGATGACCATGCGAACTAGTGATCCATACCGCGTATCGATATGACCGTGCGAAAATGTTACAGTTTTGATATTTCTACTCAGACGACAACCCATCAACGACCGTTTTTAATATTTTCCCGGGGGAAAAAACATTGTTTTTTTTTTATTGGAAAATGTTGCCAAAACAAACCGATGAAGCGATGAAAATATAAAAAAAAAATCGTTTTCGTTGAGGGATAAGGCGGAAGACAATCAACATGGTGTCACTTAGCTGGAAGACACGCCTCTCCGCGCTGTAATGAAACATTATTAAGTCGCCAAATGTGAATGCACAAACTAGGATATGACATCGTTCTGTGTAGCCATTGGAGCATTGGTGTACGGCTGAAAACATTCATGCAGAAAACGGAAACCCATTGTGGTGATTTTCTCCAATATTTACATGACTGCAATAGAGTACTTATATACTAACTATACCCCGCCGTAAATACAGGACAATTACTTGTTCTATTTTCACGAACATAGAATTGATGTCGCCCGTGGGAAGCGGACAATTCGCATGATTTCCGAGCCGGGTAAAAGCGCGATTCGGAACTGCATTTATAGAGTTCTTATTTCCGATCTTTGTATTTTTAAATTCCATGTCATGAGAAATGATATATCA